ATATATAATTATCATTATGCAAGGAGGAAGCGGAGAGAGTATTGCTCTCTTAAAAATAGCAGAAATGTCGCAAGACTATAAATCTGGCACCACACGTTAAGCAAACACCCATCTTATCAATGGTTCAGAATGATAGTCTGACCACATATGCCAAATTGTAAATCTAAACCATTGATCATGTAAACTTTTGCCAGAATGTGTGGTCCATATACACTATCTGGCAACATAAGCACCTATGTTGCTAGAATGTCTAGCAATAGGGGATTACGCTATATATTCAAAAGTTAAGAAACCAAGGGAGAAGGATTGCAAATTGTCTACTTCTGCTTGTAGTGTGCTTTAACTACATCTTACATGAAATTACTATGATTGACAACAATGAGAACTCCAGCTATGAGAAACCCTGTTCTTAAAGCCTCCAGCCTTAACTCTTCAATAAACATTTCATTCAGTGCTGACAGCATACTTATAGGGAACAGTCCCACCTTCCAGCGGTGTTTTGATTGCAGGATGATGTTTGAATTTCTATCAGGAATAAAAATAAAACCAATAAATGTTAGCCCAGAAGTAGGACCAAATATTTTTTTCAGGTCAGATAAATGACTCAGAAATTGTAAGTAAAATATGGGAAATCACAACCCAAAACACAGATTAACAAATGCTATCATTTCAGATTTTCACATACAACACAGCATACAAGGAAGAGTAAAGAAAATTAGAGCGAAATTCGAATAGAGTAAGGAAAACTAACTATGCACAGGTGTATACATTTGGTGACAATCATACATTTGATTCCTACAATATTTCATGTCTTGCATAAAAATTAGACAACAACAACAACAACAAAGCCTTTTCCCACTAAGTGGGGTCGGCTAAATGAGTCCTAGAACGCCATTGCGCTCGGTTTTGTGTCATGTCCTCCGTTAAATCCAAGTACTCTAAGTCTTTTCTTAGGGTCTCTTCCAAAGTTTTCCTAGGTCTTCCTCTACCCCTTCGGCCATGAACCTCTGTCCCGTAGTCACATCTTCGAACCGGAGCGTCAGTAGGCCTTCTTTGCACATGTCCAAACCACCGTAACCGATTTTTTCTCATCTTTCCTTCAATTTCGGCTACTCCTACTTTACCTCGGATATCCTCATTCCCAATTTTATCCTTTCTCGTGTGCCCACACATCCCATGAAGCATCCTCATCTCCGCTACACCCATTTTGTGTACGTGTTGATACTTCACCGCCCAACATTCTGTGCCATACAACATTGCTGGCCTTATTGCCGTCCTATAAAATTTTCCCTTGAGCTTCAGTGGCCTACGACGGTCACACAACACGCCGGATGCACTCTTACACTTCATCCATCCAGCTTGTATTCTATGGTTGAGATCTCCATCTAATTCTCCGGTCTCTTGCAAGATAGATCCTAGGTAGCGAAAACGGTCGTTTTTTGTGATCTTCGCTAGATTGCTCCGGTCATTAGTGTGGATAAGTATATAAATGGATAGAGATAGGAAAGCAAACACAAGATGTACGTGGTTCACCCAGATTGGCTACGTCCACGGAATAGAGGAGTTCTCATTAATTGTGAAGGGTTTACACAAGTACGTAGGTTCAAGCTCTCCTTTAATGAGTACAAGTGAATGATTTAGTACAAATGACATTAGGAAAGACTGTGGGAGAATGATCTCGTAATCACGAAACTTCTAAGTACCAGAGTGTGGTATCGTCTTGACTTGCCTTATCTGTCTCATAGGTAGATGCGGCATCTTCTCTTGAAGTACTCTTCCTCCATCCAAGGGTGGTATCTTTAACTGGTGGAGATGCACAAGGTAATGTATCAATTTCACTTGAAGCTTACTTGTAGTTTCAGGCTTGGTTAAGCGCGATACAAACCATGTAGTAGGAGTCCCCCAAGTCGTCGAGCTAGGGGATCTGCTGAAAGAGGTGACAGACAAGGTAAGCAATCAGAGCTCTAAGCAATCAGTCCCAGATCAGAACTTTGATTTCGAGTTCCGGCATAAAAATTAGAAATTAAAAAAAAAACACACACAAAGAAGAAAAGGGCACCTCATACTTTCCCTGTAGCTGCTCTTCAAAAGGAAAAATGCTTTAGATCCTAAGTACCAAGCAAATATAGAAGTGATTCAATAATTATTAAAGAAAATCAACCATGCATGGAACAAAACTTAGAAATTAAATAATTATCAAAGCTCGTGAAGAATGCTATATCCAATTAATTCGAAACATAAAGTAACCTGAAAGAGAGAAACCTTATAAATTCTATATAAATTATAATCCTTAACAGAAGGATGGAACAAAACAGGTTCATTCTTGAGAACAGATGTAATTCTGCACATTGCATATATTTAGATTAAAGAGGGTGGTAACATACCTTGTAATTTGTACAAATTAGGATTTTCATTCAAAGAACTATAATAAACACAATTACAAAAAAAGTGATTCAAACTTGTTCTTCTCTTAAGGAAATTACTCACAGTTGAAATTCTGAATGGACAAAGTTTTGGCTTCCCTTTCCGGCTATATTTGATTAACTGGGAACCTTTTTTTAATGCAATGAGTGCCTTCATGAGAGAGAGAGAGGAATATTAGGTGATAAGTATTGCCAAATCACACAGAGATCAAAATCTTGAATACATATGTTTAACCATATCAAAGTGAGTGTGTGAAAGGGTGTAGTCTGCAGAAAGGGCAACACTTTCACTGCTAGAAAGTTGGAAACCAAACTTTTACACAGATATTGGATTTTATTAATTCCCTTTGTGAATCGAAAAGAAATTGTTCGAGTAATGTAGGTAAATTCGATATACATATGCGTTGATCTATGTAAGACGGTTATAAGTTATAACTGTATCATCTTAACACAAAAATGATCATAAATGTAAGTGTCCGGAAGTAAGGGACTTACAGCAATTGATATGAGCTCTACCAGCAGTCAATCCCAGTAGTCCCTCAAAGTGGCGCAAGGGCTAAAATTATAAATAAGTAATTTAAACAGTTTAACTTTATAAAATATTGTAATTTAAACAATGCCTACATATTCAAACATCCCAAAACAGGAATGAACTTCCAGAAAACATGCGCATGAAAATAAATAGCATTACTCACCCATTGAGTTGGACCAAAATTCCGAAAGGAACCCTACCCCTAGCCCTCCCTCCGTGCCTCGCCCTCTCTCTGCGCACCCGTTGTCGACAACAAACAATCCCAAACTTTCGGGCACCCCTACCGTTGCTTCGCTCATCCTACCCTTCCTTCTCTCCTTCCGTCTTTCCTCCTATCCCGTTTGCAACTCACGACTCTTCCCTCTCTCCTTTTTTCTCACCCACGACTCTTCCATCTCTCCTCTTCTCTCTGCCATTCTGCAAGCTGCAGGTTAGGCTCTGTGGATGTGTCACCGCATCCACCTTACTCCATACCTACACCTACAAACACCAACCAAAACAAACCCAGCCACACCCCAAACCCGCAAAAGCCCATCCTCCCAAACCCAAAAAAATAAAACCCCAGCCCGAACCCAAACCTTCCACAAAGCCTACTCATTAAAGCAATGGCATGGTTGTAATTAAACTGAAATCCGGGTACAAACACTGTTCATTACGAAACGGGAATGAGGTAAGTGGAATCGGAATTGAATTCCTTCCAATGCATTCATGTGTTTACTTGTATTTGGAGAATGAAAATAAAGGTGGGGTCCACCAAAATGGGGAATTCAATTCCGGATTTACCCGGAATCTGATTACCAAGATATACTGGTAATTGAATTCCAGAAGAAAGGGTCCATCAATAATCAAACTTTTCTTTCTAAAGTGGCCTTGTACTTCTTTTGATATCCCAAAACACCCCTGCAACTTCAACACTCTAGTTTCTCTCTCAGTCGACTCGTTGCAACTTCTTCTCCAATTCCTCTTCGTTTTCGCGACTTGGGACTGGAGCTTTCAAGGTCCATCTTCCTCTTGGCCTTCAGTCAGCTGTTGTTTATCCCAAACTTGATTCATGTCCCTATGCTTATATATTCTCATTTCGACTCTTCAATCTGCCGACTCCATGGTTAAAAGCTCAGTCATTGCCTCAACTGGGAAACTCAAAATTGGGGTAAAAAAATCAAGGCTGGGACATGGAAAGAGGGAGCATGAAAGGTTATTGCCAAACGTGGGGTGGGTTGGCAACATAGAAAGATATGTTAGAAAGGGTTAGGTCGGCAGAACGTCAAAAACAGAGAAAGATGGGGACATTTTAGAGCATGTTTGGTACGCTACTTGAATCCAACTTTTTAAACTCAAAAACAATTTTCAAGTTTTAGGCCTTAAAAACTTGTTTAGTAGGATTATTTTCAAAAACTGAACTCAAGACTAACTAAAAAATATAGTCTATTATCTAAAAACACAAAAAGTGAGTTTTTAGAGTTTTTAAACTTAAACTCACTCATTTCTTTTCTCTTCTTCCTCCCCTCTCACTCTAAATCTATCTCTATTTTCTTCTTTCTCTCTCACCCTTCTCTTTTTTATTTTACCTTTTTCGTCTCTCTTCCAATCCGCTCTCTTCATTTTCTCGGTTCTTTCTCTTACTCCTCTTCCTCTCTATCTCCTCCGATCTTCTCACTTCTTTCTCTTTCCTCCAATCATCTCTGACTTTCTTTTCTCCTCTCTCCTCTTTCTCTCTCGACCCCATTTTTATGGATCTTTTTGTCCAGTTTAAGTTGTAAGATTTAAAAATTTTAAATCGCATACCAAACAAGTTTTTGAGTCTTAAAAAAAATTGTTTTCAAGAAAAATTCTTTAGAAATGTTTTGAAAAATTATAAAAAATTTCAAATAGGATACCAAACAAACCCTTAGAAACTTTTTTAGGTCGGGAGAAAGATGGGGAAGAGAGGGGAGAGACTGAGGGTCACAAAAAAAAAATTGGAAAAATGAAAGAATAAATTTTTACTACAAAATAAAATAAAAATGTTCTCTATACGAAAAAAAAATGAAAGAATAAAAGTTTAAAAATAATTTGCATATAAAATAGATTAGTTAAACTAGGGTTCCCTAAACACATAAGTTTTTATTCTGATTCCAGATAATTTTAATAAACAACTCCAACAATAATCTGATTCTGATTCTACCTCATTCTAATTCATCTTCAATTCAATTCATTCTTCATTAAATTCCGTTAATCTGATTCCGGAATAGTAAATGTGCTATAAAGTAATACGACGAGGTGTTAGCACGCCAACAAAAGATCCAAATATCGAAACTGGCAGGTGCCAATCGTAAACTGACCAAAAGTTTCTGGAAGCAAAACTGCAAAAACACACACTTCCCTCGCAGGGCTCTCGAATCTCACTCAATCCCTCCACGGCAACCCACGGCCAACCCGAAACCCTCCCACTACAGCTCGAGACCCGGACCCGCGAACCCGACTCCGACCCAACCCGAAACAAGCCCACCGGAGTCACCGCGATGAGACTGATTGTGCCACTCCAAGGCGTCGTCCAAGGCAGAGGCGGCCTCATCCTCGCCTCTCTAATCCCATGTGCTCTCTATTACTGCCTCCAGCTCTACCTAAAACGACGCCGACCCTCCAACCCCGATCCACCTTCCCCCTCCCAGTCCTCCTCCAACCTGGCGGAGCTCCCCAGAACGCCGTCGCGGTCCAGCTTGTCCACCCGCGGGCCCATGGGCCGGGTCCGGATGTCCTCCCGGGCGAGCTGGGTTGCGAAGCCCAATGACTCGCCGTACTATATCGGGTTGGATAGGGCTTCGGAGGAGCCGTACGATAGGGTGGATAATCCGGATGGGGTTATTCAACTCGGATTGTCTGAGAACAGGGTGAGATTTTGTTGGGTTTTGTGTAATTTATGTTTTCGGAGTGGAGTTTATGTAAAGTTCAACTTTTTAATTTTCTGGGTGTGGTTGCAGCTGTGTTTGGATTTGATTGAGAAATGGGTTTCGGAGAATCTGATGGAATCGATGGTGGGAACGGACGGTGGTGATTTGAGCATAAGTGGGATTGCAGCGTACCAGCCGTTTGATGGAATGACTAAGCTGAAAGTGGTATGATTGTTTCTAATCTCTGAAACATTGTTGGATAATTTAGTGAGATGGTACTTTAATACGTTATAATCGCTCTTCTGATATAGTTTCGGTTGCGTAATTTGTAGGATAGTACTATTTACACACTCATTTTTCCAATGACCGAAAAATTGAGAGGGGTGTGTTAAAAGTAAAAATGGACGTGTGGATAGCACTACCCAATTTGCAAAGTGCTATGCTACATTACTTCGAATTTTCGTAGCCCATCGTAGGTGGCGGAGAATTCGGTGATTTCTAATCAAGTTTCCCGAGCTTTTTCGCAACTCTGTAACCAAGAGTCGGAAAATGGGACAAGTTAGAAAACTGGACCACCAAACAATTAGAACAAAAGATACATTGATGACAACAGAAACATCAGAGAAAAATAACAGCACCTCCTTAATAACCGATTGGAGTGAACCTCTCGGTGCTGATTTTGCTTGGCCAACCGACTCGCCGTGGGTTTCATTAACGTTGAACTCCTTGATAGATGTGGTGACTTACCCGGGGACTTCAGTTTGGTTTTCGGAGTGTCTTGAGCCATGTGATTAGAAAACTCTAATCGTGTCGAAAGTTTAACATAAAACATAACAGTAAGATACAATTTCATGTACCAATTCAGGCAAAGCCGATTCAGAAAACAGAACTAAAATTTTCCGAGTGTAGTAATTTTACAACGAAGTATCACATTGCGTCAAAAATCTAATAAGAAATGAGGTAGAATGTACCTTTGTCATTATCTTCTACGGGTGCAGAGACCTTTGCTTTCATGCAATTATTCAAGTTACTGCATCTAGTAACTTCAACATCTTTCGATTCCGCGGAGGTTTTTACAGGTACCGGATGATTCTCTTGTTGCCAATTCAACCATTTTTCAAGGAAAGCTAAAGGATTTGAAACAAATTAAACAAAGGAAAAATAAAGTTAGTGGTAACAAATTAATCCAATCAAATTATAATATTTATAATTCAATCTCTAATCTGTTCATATAAAACAACGTAACATAACTAAAATGCATGAACTTAACATGTAGATGCTGAAATTAATTAGCAGAAAACGATCATTAATTAATGTGGTAATCATAGAAGATGATCCAATTCATTGTTTTTGGGACATGCTAAGAAAACAACAAACAAATGATCCGGAAATCGCTTACGCGAGGGCTTATAGCCTCCGGCTGACCGGAACCATTCCTCCGCCTCCTCGGCCTCCCAATCAGATTCCGGCCTAGTGAAATCGTAGAACCTTTAGCGCATCGAATTCGTAGTCCATGTCAATTTCATCCCCCTCGAAAGCCTCCCTCGCGAATTCCACCATTTCTTCTTCCATCTCTCTCTCTCCTCCCTCAATCTCTGTCTCCCCTCCCTCCATCTCTCTCTATCTGAACCAACTTTCAGGCAAATGAACCAGTCAATTCCATGCGCGATTTAAAATTTATTTCCTTTTTATATCACAAATATTTTGGATTTTTGTTTTTTCAAAAAGCTTTAGGAGACTTTCGAAGAAGCGATCGAGTTCGAAACTTTCCCGGGAAATCAAAATTCAGAAACAGAGGGAGAGAGAGAGATTATATGTAAATATATATGTATATATATGTACGTAGAAGTTTTGATCAAGGTTAATGTGAAACCCTAATTGGAAATTTGTGAAGGGAAGAAACGGAAAGGTTTGAATATTTGTTTGGGGCGAGAATTTCGGGTTGGTTTAAGAAGGCAAACTCAGCCAGAAAAGGAAAGACGACGACGACAACTTTTTTCAGCGCCCAAGTTTGAGAGAAATGTTCCTTCTGTCCAGAATTTTGAAATCGTGGGATCCACTCCGCCACGCCCAACGCTTGCATTTGTGGGCCCTCACCTTTACATCTTGCACCAAACTTTTTTTTTTTTGGTCCATCGATAAAATTTGTTACATTAAATGTTAGATTAGTTATTGATGAAGTTTGAATAAATACTGTCATGTAAGCACTCAACACTTTTTCACCACTGTGCATACAAAATATGTGTGGCTGGATCAATCTGTGCATACAAATGGAGAGAGCTCAATCATGATTCACGAAATTTTTGGCCAAAAAAAAAAATCACGATTCATGAAATTTCTATAATCCACAAAATCTACCCTTTGATTAACAAAATAGAGTAAATTGTACAAATGGTCCCTCAACTTTAATCAAATTGGAGCAATGGTCCCTCAACTAAAAATTCATTACCATTGGTCCCTCAACTTATCAAAATGTGTAGCTATAGTCCTTTTCATCAATTTTGTCAAAATATTGTCAAAATAAGCTATGTTGGAATAACCATTTATATAATTAGGGTCCCTTAACTCATCAAAGTGTATGATTATGGTTCTTTTCGTCAACTATGTCAAAAAATTTGTCAAAACGAGTTATATTGGAAGGACTATTGTTACAATTGGGTTAAAGTTAAAGGACAATTTCTCCACTTGAATTAAAGTTCAGGGACCAATGGTAATGGATTTTTAGTTGAGGGACCATAGCTGCACGTTTTGATAAGTTGAGGGACCAAAGGTAATGGATTTTTAGTTGAGGGACCATTGCTCCAATTTGATTAAAGTTGAGGGACCATTTGTACAATTTACTCAACAAAATATCTTAGAGATTACAAATTAATATAAAGAATATAAAATACTAAAGAATTGGTAAAATAAAAGATAGTAAAAATTTATTATTTTAACATCAATTATCAAAGTGAGATTAAAAAGAGCATACGGTTTATCATTCTCCTAGAGAAAATTAATTAGAAAGGATATTTTTATTGCAACCACCAATAAAATTACAAGGAAAATGCTAGGAATACGACTGGACGACACAAAGAAAACAGAAGAGATAGAGCCCCTCCCAGCCAACCAGCAAGAGAAACTAGGATACCAGAGCTGACAACCAACTCTTAACCAAAACATGCAAGAGCCCCTCCCAGTCAACCTGCAAGAGCCCCTCACAAGTTGGATTCAAGCATTCGACCAAAGAGAAAAGTTGGAATCGCGCAGGACGTGAGTTTCATATTCACCCCAACTTGGTCCGACCTTGTAAATAAAACGAACATTTTGTACATGTTCAACAATCCAATAATGTTGGCCATTTTCTGGATCCATCTGTCGCGCAAACTCCTTTGGCATGTCATAGAAATCAAGAGTTGTCAGATTCCGGAGATGGTGGATGCCAGAGGGCACCTCCTTCAGTTGTGGGGAAGGTCGAATGTGAAACTCTTGGAGAAAAGGCATGACACCATTGTCTATGATCAACGAATTTAGTCCCACCATCTTTGCCTTAGCTCCCTAAGTTTCTGAAATCCTCCTTCCTCAAAATGCAGCTGCACACCATCATATGCATTCCTACCCAAAGTTAGCTTCAACAGATTAGGTAGATTTTGAAGGGCTTTTAGTGGGGAATCTCTCAACCTTGACCAATAAATGGTTATCTTGACTATGTGTTGAAGATTTGAAATCCAACCTGGCAACTGCTCTAAACGCCCTATCAAGCAGAGAGAACGAAGAAATTCTGGTGGAGTTGAAATAGATTCTAGATCAAGGACTTCATCTTCATTTATTGCAGTTAAAAGTAGAGATTCAAGGTGGTTCATCTTTTCAATAGAAGCACACACAGCCCTTCCATCTTCACTTTTCAAGTTTTTTAGGCCTAACTTCCGTAGCTGTCTTAACTTTCCCAGTTCTTTGATTAGCCTGATCCCTCCATGATTCGCCTCCACATAGGACAGTTTTTGCAAAGCTGTAAGCATCCAATACCTTCATGTATCTTCACTTCTTTTTCCATATTCAAGAACAAACGCACGTCGCAGTTGTAGTCACGATGGTAGGCCAAAAGATGCCGCAGCTTAACAAGCTTATTGATCTTGGTTGGTATTTCATACACCAAGGACTGTTTTAGATCCAGGGTTTCCAAGTTTTGTAGATTGCCTATGGAGTCTGGAAGCAACTTCACCTTTGTATTCCTCAGGCTTAAGTACGTCAAGAGATACAAATCACCCACATATTTAGGAAGTTGATTGATTGGAGCATCCGTGAAATCCAATACTTTCACAAGTTTAATGTTTCCACTCAATGTATCGAGAAAAGACTCGGGCCATTCTTCTAGGTTGAAAGTAAATACGGAACGAATATGAGATTGTGTAATGCTTCCCAGGGCCCAAGAGGGACTGATGTTCAATGAGAGACGTCGAGTTGTTGGTTTAAAAGTCGACTCGTCTTTTGATAACACATGACAGAAGCTTGAATCCAGCCCCTTTTTAAGGAGGACGTCGTGCAATAGATCATGAACTCTACAAGCTCGAGCTTTTCCATCAATGTAAACTTCTGAAACTTGAACCAGGCTTCTGTGAATTAGCTCCATCAAGTATTCCTCTCCAACCTCTTCTAGTGTCTTGCCCCTCCTCGGTTTCACAAAGCCTTCAGCGATCCACAACCGAACTAATCTTATGCAATTAACTGAGTAATCCTCGGGAAAGATGCCAAAGTATAATACACACGATTTGAGGTAATACGGTAGATGGTGATAGCTGAGGGATAGGATTCTTGTGAGGCTTGTAAGGTGGGGATTTCTTTCTAACTCTGAACTTAAGCTATTGTATAACTTCTGCCATTCAGACACAACTTTAGCTTTGGTTGACAGCAGACCACCTACGGAAACAATTGCCAAAGGTAGTCCTTCGCATCTTTTGACGATGTTAAGAGACAACTCTTCCAACTCTTCAGGACACTTTCCCTCCAATTCAAACTGAAATGCCTTCCTACAAACAATTCCCATGCCTTGTTTGGAGGCAGATGCTGCAAGTGATGAACATGAACAAAACAAGATCTTTTGCAAAAGTTGGCAACATCTTGAATCCGTGTAGTGATAATTATTCGTCCGCCTTTACTATCGGGTAAAGCATGTTCTATTGCCCCCCAAAAATCTACTTTCCACACATCATCAAACACAACAATGTACCTCTTTTGCTGCAAATACTCTCTAGATGTGCTAATCAGGGACTCCTCATCCATTGTGTCAATTTCCTCTGGGAAACGCTCCTTCCTTGAACTGTAGAACTTTTTTATTACCGTCCTCAGAAGATCCTCAACCCTGTACGACTGGGACACTGTAATCCAAGCATAGCAATCAAAGTGTGCCATCACCTTCGGCTGGTCATACACTTTCTTGGCAAGAGTGGTTTTCCCAAGTCCTCCCATGCCAACCACTGATATCACTTCACGTCTTGGCGCTCCTTCTACCAACAAACGAGTTAGCTCATCTCTGGCAGATTCAATCCCCACAATTTCAGCTTCCTCAATGAAAAGGGAAGCCACTCGAGGGTCGTTCGACGGTAGAGTCTTTTCTACACTGCTCTGCCCTTGCTGATCAATAGATTTGAATCCATATCTTTCACTTCTATCCTTGATTTCACGAACCAATTTTTTTATACCGTCAACTTTCGAAACTATCCCATCCTGTGATCTCATTTTTTGAACCAACCGGATTATGTTATGGAAAAAACGAATGAATCCATGGTGTTGATGATGCTGTATGATGTGGAGCAAATATTCATCGATGACATCTTCAATGTAAAAGGCTGCTTCTCTTACTTGATTGACCCAAGTTTTAACACCGTCGTTCATAGTCTCTCCATCTGCTGCTGCAGCCTTAGCATCTGCTTCCTTGAGGAATGATCGGATGCTCTCGAGTTCATCTTTGATGAAACCAACTTCAATACGTGCATTTCTCGAAAGGTTTGCTTCTGTAGTGATGAATAGTTGAATCAACTTGTCGATCACAAAGCATACAATCTGTTCTGCCATATAATATGTGCAACCCCACAACCCCAAGCAATGTGCCTTTCGGTTTGGGTGAGCAAGCAGTTGTTTAGAAAAACAGAGAAAATTGAGATGCAAAGGTAGAGAAACGAAATCTGAAAAAGAAGAGGATGCAAGAATCAGGAAGAAATATGAACGATGGGAAGCAGATGGCTTTGGTATCAAGAGAGTCAGAAACATTGAAGCAAATAGATACCTTTCTTATTAACTTGAGACATGGGCTATTGCTTTTCCAATGGTTTTGTTTTCACTTTGTCGAAGGTGAGAATCTAGTGCCAAATTGTGGTGGGCCACTTATTGACCCAATTGCCCATTAAGTTGTTTTGTTTATTTGGTCCATGTGAAAGACACGGGTGGTTTTCCTTTGTTTGAGAATTTTAACAAAAAAACTTCCGATACTGTTTACGTTAACGAAAAATTACATTTTTACATTAAAAGGTTAATTCTAGTACCATTTACTTTACTTTTTATTTTGTTATTTTCGTTAAAACTCAAAATTTTCAAATTATTTTCATTAGTTTTCGTTTGTTTTAATTGGCAGCAATTGCTGCATTTGTTAAAGAAGCCGAAAGCAAGAAAAATAGAATAAGAAAAAGGGGATATAATGATGTGGGAACATAATGAGGAGGCATAATGATGATGTTTGTAGAACAAAAAAGAAAAGGTTGATTTTTTTTTCGGAGGCAGATTCTCTGCCCTCCCACTTCCCGTGCCCTTCTATTTTGTGTGGTCACGGTTAAGGCACGTCAACATTTTATATTATTTTTTTTATAGAGATAATAAGACAAAAAGAAATAGTAATATAAAATATTGACGTTGCTTAACCGTGACCACACAAACAAGAGGGCATGGGAAGTGGGAGGGCAGAGAATCTGCCTCCCTTTTTTTCTTTCGGCATTTTTGGTTGGCGGAGAAGAAAATGTTGCTTTCATCGTTGTGCTCTTTATCTTCCTTGCTGGATCTTGCAGAGAGATAAGTAGAGGAGAGCGGTAGAGTGTGAGGGTGGAAGCAGCAGAAAGAAGGTG